TAAGGTAATTTTCTAAGGAAAAAGTAACACCGTTTAGTAATTTTTGACGGCATGGGGGAATTTTGATATTGTCAGGTAAAGCAGGGGAGGTTACTGTAATTATTCAAACCACAGGGGAGGTCCCTGTATTTGTCAGAAACCTCAGGGGAGGCAAATGTAATTTACCCTAATTATTTTAATTCAATATAATTTTATGTAAAAAATAAATTATTTATTAAAAAAATTTTAGGCCACTTTTGGCGACTAAATCCATTATTTAGTCGCCAATTCTATGATTTTTGGGCTACTAATTATTTTTTTGTCGGTAAAAAAACAAGTTGAAATTAAAAATAGTAGTTTTGGCGACTAAATCTGTTTTTAGTCACCAAAAACGTGTCATTTTGGCTACTAAACTTAATTTTAGTCGCCAATTCACTGTTTTTAGCTACTAATTTTTTTTTGTAGCCAAAAACCTTCATTTTCAGCGACTAATCTTTTTTTAGTCGGAAAAACAACTATAATCGGCGACTAAAATGTTTTTTAGTCGCCAAAACCATCACTTTTGGCTACTAAATTATTTTAGTCGCCAAAAACCGTCACTTTTGGCTACCAAAAAACCTTTAGTCGCTAAAACCCCTACATTCTACGACTAAACTGACTTTTAGTCGCTAAAAGCCTGGTATTCGGCGACTAAACTGTTTTAGTCGGCAAAAGGGTTCAATTTTGGCGACTAAATCCATTTTAGTCACCAATTATACAACTTTCAGCGACGAAAATTGAATTTTTAGTCGCCAAAAACGCTTTTTCTTGTAGTGGATGCTAACTCGCATGTGATTGGAGAACAAAATTTTTGTTGTGGGAGAACCTTCTTATCGGTTAGAAAAAAATTTTAGTACTATTTTCTTGTTTTAATCCCCTAATTTTTAAAAAAAAAAAAAAAAAAACTGTCATTTTCTTTTTAATTTTTTTGCTCAGTGTTAATATGAATTTTCTTCTCAATGAAATTGAAATTAAAATAAAAATAAAAACTAGAGATAAGAGTTTCACATAAAGACGTGTCATGTCTTAGTTTTAACCTCTTTTTTTATTTTTCATTTTTTATTTTTAAATTTTTTTTTTGTTTTTTGGTTTTTTTGTTTTTTTGTTTTTTTTTTTATGTACATGAAATACTTGGCTTGGCTCCTATTGTTTTTTTTTCCTTTATTCTTTGTTGCTTTTCTTTGTATGGCTTTCTTCTAGTGTTTTTCTCGTAGCTTAGTTGTTGGCTTAGTTTAGTTGGTTTGGTAGCTGTGTAGTAGGGTTTTCGTCGTTCTATTTTATGACTTAATTACCTAGAAAAAAAAGTTGTAGAAACATTTCAAGATGGACTGATATAATGTATTACTTGTAAATTAGCCAAAATAATGCTTTTTCTCTAAATTTAAGCTTCAAAAAGGGTCGTTGAAAGGCTAAAATATCACACTACACATGTGCATGGGAATCAACACAAACCTATTGGAAATAATCAATATAACTTGTAAAAAGTTATGGCACGTGAATGGGATGGACCATTTGTGAATTAGCATAAAAGCACTTTTTTTCCATAATTAATCTTGGAAAAGGTCCATTGGAGGGGTATACTATCAAACAGTCATGAATGTGCATGGGAACTGACAAAAAAAACCTTAGGAGGGACCAATGTAACTTGTAGGAACTTACGTCACATGCACATGATACACCATTTGTGAATTAGCCTAAAAAATGTTTTTTTCCTATACTTAGGCTTGAAAAATGGCCAATGAAGAGCAATATTTTCAAATAGTCGCAAATGTGTATTTGAACCAGCACAAACACCACAAGAGGGACCAATGTAACTTGTAGAAACTTATGGAACATGCACGGGATGCATCGTTTGTGAATTAGATTAGAAAATTAGTTTTTAAATAATTAGGCTTGAAAGGTCATCAGAGGGAAAATCGTCAAACCGCTACGAAAGTTCCCATGATTTGGCTCAAACACCCTAGGAAGGACCAATGTTATTTGTAGGAACTTACGACACATGCACGGGATTCACTATTTGTGTATTAGACACAAAAAAATTGCTTTTTTCCATACTTATGATTAAGAAAAGCCCCTCGGATTGCTAAATTGTTAAACAGTCACAAATTTACCCAGAAACCGATACAAACACCTTGGGAGGGACCAATATAAGTTGTAGAAACTTACGGTATGTGCACGGGATGTATAAATTGTGAATTAGCCTAAAAAATGTTTTTTTTCTCCATACTTAAAGCTTCAAAGAAAGGTCGTCGAAATGCTAAATTATCACACATCCACGGATTTGTACATGAACACCTTGGGAGGGACCAATATAAGTTGTATGAACTTACGGCACATTAATGGGATGCACCATTTGTAATTATCCTTAAAATTAATTCTTTGTTCTCATAATCTCGAAAAAAAAGTCCATTAGAGGGATAAATTGTATAATTGATTTAATTGTGAATTGATTAGTTACTAATTTTTTAATCTTTTGTGAAAAATCTAGAAATCCCCTAGATATTGATTTGTGATTATGTAACTTAAGCAGTATATAACAATCCCAATCAAACAATCAAGACAAATCAACACAACGATTTTAACGTGGAAAAACCACAATTGGACACCTCCAACTGTGATTAAAAAACCACGGGCAACAGCCACAAAACAATCCACTAAGAAGATTTAAAGGAATTACACAGGTATACTCTCAATTATCTAGCGAATCCACGCCTAATTGAACCAACCTCTATGTGCCTCTTCCAACCCGTCTTCACCACGGAATTGTCTTTACAATGAGCCACTCTAGAATCTGCCGAAGCTTCATGCTCGAATTCTTCAGAATCCACTGAAGAACAACTCTCTCTTTTGTATAACAAACAAAACCTTTGATGTACTCTCTTTTAAACCATGAGTTGAATACTCAATAAAACATTAAAGAAAACTAACAAAATATCTCCAGATATAAACCTTAAGATCCAAAAAGAAGATCTGGAGAAGTACACTTAGCTTTGGAAGAAAACCAAGTATTTATAGAAAACCAAAAGTAATCCTAGATTTGGAAGAAAACCAACTCCTTAAGAAATCTGAATTTTGAAGCTCGCTCGAGCAAGGAGCTTAACTTTCGTGATTTCTACTAGTGCCTTGGCTCGAGCGACGAATCCTTGGCTCGAGCGAGCACACCACTCTTTCAGGTTTTCGTGATTTCACAGTAAGACAAGTTATAATTTGTGGACATTGTGATATAAATATTAGTTGAACCTTTAAGATATAGAAGATTAACACCCTAAACCAAATTTGTAATAGTTTCAAGAAAATTTATGGAGAGTGATTTTCTGGACTGTGAAAGTGCTTGCTGCTGAGAAATTATGATGCGTCCCACCTATTACACTTGGATTTAGTTGTTTAGTTTTGGTTTTGGGCAAAGAATATTTTTTCCGTCTATGTACAATTAGAATGTGATGCAAATGGTGTATTACTAGAATAATACATTTAGTTACAAAGGCAAACAGAGAACCAGATTAAGCTAGAACTCTGGTCTCAATTCTAGCTGACCGAATTTCATAAACAGTACTTCCAATAAAGAGTCCTTGATAATAACCCTGCAATCTTTCTTTTTCTTTTCTGTTTTCTTTTAAATTTTTAGGTAAATGTCCTTTTTTGGGTTTTTAATCTAAGGACTATGTAAAATAAAAAAAAATCTACCCCTTTCAAACCCCCATTTAATAGCAAGACATTTTCTAAGGCAACTCCCCTTCTATTTCCAATCCCTGCATAACCCATCAAGGTTCAAAAACATATAAAAGAAAAAATAAATAAATGGGTTTCTGAAAAAAGCTTAGGTGGTTAATCTCTTCCCAAGATCCTAGAAACTAAGAAGTATCAAGGATGGTTTCACTATGGTTTGTACTAACAGAAAATTCCATTCGTAAAACAAAATTAGTCCTGCAGAAGCAAACAACTGATAAACAAGATGCATTTAAAATTACTAAAATCACTACCTGATTAAGGGAACACTCTTCCAGAGACTTCAGAGAATAGGGTTGATGTACTAGTTCCTCTGTTGGCATTGATATTGAAGCATTCAAGCTGCAGACAAAGTTATATTTCATAGATGAGGCATCTTTTTTATTAGTGTGGCATTGGAAGTTTATGAGACAATTTCTAGGATTCTGAACTAGGGAATTCATGTGGGCAATTCTTTATGATATTAGAATGTGATAAGATGTGATACATTGGGAGGTCGAGCCCAGACCCCAATGTTGTTTTTCAACTGGGATTAATTCATAGGTATTTTTCATGCCCTTCAATATCCACAGAATAATGTCGTTATAATTGATTTTATGCCCTTATTATTTCATACATGTTATTCCCTTCTGTCATATAGATTAATTGATTTGATTTTTATTTTTATTTTTTTTATAGGTTTGGATGCTAACTCGCATGTGATTGGAGAACAAAATTTTTGTTGTGGGAGAACCTTCTTATCGGTTAGAAAAAAATTTTAGTACTATTTTCTTGTTATAATCACCTAACTTAAAAAAAAAAAAAAAAAAAAAAAAAAAAAAAAAAAAAAAATGTTTTTTTTTTTTTTTTTTTTCTACTTACTACCAACCAAGTAAGATGGTTTTCTCCTTTGTCTAAGCTGGTGCAACCTAATCAAGTTAGATTATTTCGGTCATGCTCTCACCTAAGCAATGATGTAGATGGCATTCGACCGAACTACACCTAGCTCGGCCTTCTTTCTTACAAACACCTCGGCTAGCCACCAGGCCTAGTTTTTAGGTAGCTCGGTCAAACCCCTCTGCCAATTTGGTACCCAGACAGCATGGGACCAAGCTACTCGAAGCCCATACCCCGGCCCTTAGTCTGGCCCAGAAAGGAGATTAAAGGATCGTAGCTTAGCCCAATTTTTCTTTATAAATTACCCTCTCAATAATCATTGTCATTTCTTCTATTTTTTGCTTCTTTACATATTTTTGTCACCTTTTAATGCATCTCCGATGTTACTGGTGAGGAAGGGTGATCTTTTCCAAGTTAGAGGTGGAATGCGAATTGTTGAATTCAAAGTAGTTGATACAGACCCTGGTGAATACTGTGTTGTTGCACCAGATACAGAGATCTTCTGCGAGGGAGAACCCATAAAACGTGAGGACGAGGAGAGATTGAATGAAGTTGTTTATGATGATGTTGGTGGTGTAAGAAAGCAAATGGTTCAGATCCACGAGCTAGTAGAGCTTCCTTTAAGGCATCCACAGCTCTTCAAGTCAATTGGTGTAAAGCCTCCAAAAGGTATCCTGCTTTATGGTCCACCTGGGCCTGGAAAAACACTAATTGCAAGAGCTGTAGCGAATGAGACAGGTGCATTTTTCTTCTTGATAAATGGCCCTGAAATAATGTCAAAGCTGGCTGGTGAGAGCGAAAGCAACTAGAGGAAGGCATTTGAGGAAGCTGAAAAAAATTCTTCGTCTATCATCTTCATTGATGAAATAGATTCGATTGCTCCGAAGAGGGAAAAGACACATGGTGAAGTGGAGACACGTATAGTATCCCAACTTTTGACTTTAATGGATGGCCTCAAGTCCAGAGCTCATGTGATCGTCATGGGGGCTACCAATAGGCCAAACAGCATTGACCCAGCTCTAAGGAGATTTGGGAGATTTGATCGAGAGATTGACATTGGTGTACCAGATGAGGTGGGAATGTTGGAAGTCCTTCGGCTCCATACAAAAAATATGAAATTCGCTAAAGATGTGAGATTCTAGTTACTGCCTTTCTGTTTCAGTATTCTTAACAATTTGATTTTACTTATGCAATTGATATGCTTATCTTTTTACAGGTTGATCTTGAAAGGGTTGCAAAAGATACTCATGGTTATGTTGGTGCTGATCTTGCTGCTCTTTGTACAGAGGCTGCTCTTCAGTGCATTAGGGAGAAAATGGATGTCATTGACCTAAAGGATGAGACAATTGATGCTGAAGTATTGAATTCCATGGCCGTGAGTAATTAGCACTTCATAACTGCATTGGGGGATTCGAATCCTTCTCCCCTTCGTGAAACTGTAAGTCTTGGTGAACTTCTATGCTTCTTAACGTGGCTATTGGTTCTGTTTGGGTGTCCTACACTGCTGGAATTTTTAGCGGCGTTTTTTAAAAAACGCCGCTATATATTTGAAAAACGCCACTAATTCCTTTAGTGACGCTTATCACAAAACACCGAGGACGCGGCTGTCGCTGTAAGTTTATGACGTTTTAAAAACATCGTAAAATTAATATAGGCGGCGTTCATAAAAATGCCGCTAAATGTGGCAGACAACGGTAACATGATGCCACACAGACATTCAGCGACGCTTCAAAAACGTCGTAATAGCTTTTTTGTTATTTTAAAAATATAACTATAGTGGCGTTTTGGAAAACGCCGCAATAGATTTTTTTTTTTAAACTACAAATTTTGTACCCAATAAAACTTTGTATAGACATATTTCTGGGAGATTACTATTCCCTCACATCTACAATAGTACCCAATGTAACATCCTTCCAGAAAAAAATCCAATAAGTTCAATCCCAAAAAACCAAGCAGCCATCTCATACATAGAAGGCAATTAGAATTGTCTTAAAATACAAATTGACTCTCTCTCCTGTAGAATATAAGTTCCAGAATAGAGCAGCAGAAAAATACAAAAATCCCTGGAAAGAACTCCACTAATTCAACAAAATAGAAAGTCAAAGCATCTATTCTAGAATGAGAATAAACTCACTCAAGTTCTAGATATCCATTGCATAAGTCTTCCAAAGTTAATTCTAATTTCCCAATTGTCTAGCCATTGGCTTTCTAAAAAAATTGTGCAAAACATAAACATTAATGTTTTGACATCTATGAACTATACCCAATATAAATTTTCAAAAGGCCAATTCCAACAATAACTGATGTATCAGGGATATTAGCCAACACAAATACTGCAAAGAATAAAAATTAGAGGAACATCCAAATTCACCAGTGCTTGAACAGGTCTGAGCTTCGGTTTCTCTGTTTTCGCAGAAATTCCTGAGGCGATGTATTCATGTTTGGCTAGTAGTCGCTGCAAGTCATCATTCAGTGCAAGTCCTTGACATAGCAGTGATTCATCCCTACAATAGGTATATGAATAATGAATATACATAGTCACAACAGCATTGATTGCATATAAAGAGTAAGCTGTAGCATCTACTACATCCAATCCCAAGTCATTTTCTTATTGTACATAACTCTTGTTCATTTATAAATCAGAAACCACAGACAAGTAAATACATACATGCACACCCACCCACACACACACACACAAAAGATATGCTAAAAGGGTATCACTTGGAGACCTACCTGAAGAAAAAAAAAGTATAAAAGGGTATTCCATTTTTTAAAAAATGTTTCCAGAAATGTTTGATTCCAAATTAACCCAACCAATTTGGCAAGCCTCATTCATTGTCTACTCTCTTCTTGCTGGTCATCCTCCATTCTTAAGTAACTACAAAATTTAGTATAAAGTATAATCTTTTTTTCCCTTTATATTATTATTAGTAGTATAAAGTGTAATTTTTTTTCCCTTTATATTATTATTATTATTTTATTTAGAACAAATTTTCTGCCTAACAGATGAATCCATGATACTAATGGGTATTAATAAATCTGGAATTGACCTTATGGGTATTAATAAATTTGAATAATCCCAGCACACACAATGTTTGAGCTGCATAATGAGGAATGAAGATATTAACTGACCAATACAGGGAGAAACAGCTACCTCAAGCCTTTAGAAATAGTATACTTACTTGACTGATAATATTGCACAATACATCCCTCCAAACTCTTGATCCCTCACATTCCCCCTGCAGAAACATTTAAAGTAATTGTGACATGCAAATCCCATGTAACTCTTACCAACACCCACAAAGAAGGCTAAGAGCAAAGTCAAGGATAAAACATAAAAGATCAGAAAGAAAATTTTAATACTCACCCATACACCATGTGAGGAATAAGATCATTACGGATTGTGTTTGAATCTGCTATCGGGTCAAACCGATCCTAAAGTCCAACCATGAAATAAAAGAACTTATTAGTACTCCTGTGCAATATTTCTTTCATGTTCAAGACAGTGAAACATCAACTAAAATCATGGAAGGCCTAGAAAAACAGCAGCTACCAACTGTCCCCAACATTAACTCAGTTGATAAGTGAAAATCTCAATGGCTGAAATCCATAAATTGATGACAAGAAGCAAAACAGATTTACATGGTGCAATAGTAGTTTCAGAAAATGACTCCACTTTAACATATAAGAAATAACAGGGAATAAGTACACCATAAAAGAAATTGTTTAAATTTTGATAGCTAGAACCATCCAAAATAAAGTATCCATGAGCGCCCATCTCCCAGTGCCACTTAATTTGGGTTAGTATTGATGCAGTTTGGAAGCAAAAGCTCATTATAATAAGATACATGGCATGCCAAGCAACAGTCACTTCTTCAAGAAATGGCTTCTACACATCAATAGGCCATATTTAAAAGAGCTCCAAGTGCACAAAACTAATAACAAAGTTAATTCATACTTAATCCCTTCAAAGTAATCTTGCACCTAAATGCTGGACCTCAAACCTTTTGGTGTAAAAACTTTGAATAAAAAAAAGTCCTTTTAGAAAATTCATTCCATGGGTTGTTGTGATGGTTATAGCTTTCGTTGCCTTGTATTCTGTTCCTTTCCTTCGTTCTTTTTTCTTTATTAATCATACATGAAGAACCCTGAAAGAAAGATGAATACCACTGGAAAATAGCAACCAACAATATACTCACGTGGAAGATAGAAACAGCTTTTGAGAGCAACAATCTAGTGTCGTCAGAAGCCATCTGCCCATTAAGAAGCCTCCATTTTATATCAAGATCAGCACTACACTCGAAACCTTTCTCCTCCAGCTTCTTCTTTATAATGCTCAGCAGAGAGTCCTGTAACTTTTGTTCTCCACTAACTACCAGATTTTGTAAAGCAGAATGAACCCTGTTGCAGTCCATGCAACAGAACCACTTCCCCTTGGGCAATTCCTATTGTATGTGTGGTATCAACATATTATTCAAAAATAATTCCACTTGAACTAAATATATTCATGCACAAACATAATACAGACGTACTAAAAAAAATATAAATAAAAAACATATATACAGAGATGCTGAAACAAAGAGATGAAATGAAGTTAAATAATCTGCAGACCTTTAGATCATCCATTTTATGCTCCTTTAAACAGCCAATGTGATACTCCTTCTCACACTAAAAGTAGAAAAGGCAGCACGCAAGAGAGAGAGAGAGAGAGAGAGAGAGAGAGAGATTAAAACATTTGTTAAAATCAAAAGTATTTAAGAACCAAAAAAAGAACATGGAAACTCAAACATGGCAAAGCAAAGACAAAAATATCAACAAAATACTTGGTCACACAATATAATTGTCTGAGGGCCAAATACTGATTTGCTGAAACCATGGCCCCCTATGAGTGAGAGTGCATTCTATAGAGGGTTGTGAGGTGTGAGTTGTAATCTGCTTCCGGAATAATTCTATAGTGGATATCACTCCCGTGGACATAGGCAATTGTCGAACCACGTAAATCTCTTGTGTTATTGTGTGTGATTGATTTTTGGTGTCCCATAGTCCTAACAGAACGCAACCTCATTCACCCAGCCTCCTCTTTCCAATTCGTACGCTCTTTCATCACACACTTTCCTCAACTTTTTGTTTCACCCCCCCCCCCCCCACCCCCCAATATATATAGTTGATTTTGGGGTTACTGTCAAACACTTGGGTTGGCCTTGTTTGGGCTTTTATTTGGAGTAAATTAACCGTTGTGAATATATACTGTACTTGTCGTGTATAATGATGTGATGAGTGTATCAAATATTATGAAAAAGTAACTTGAAACATAGTTAGAGCCCACCCAGTTGTGTTTTGTGTGCTTAGTTGAATCAAACCTTTTGTTGAATTCTGGTTTAAGCTATGTTTTGGATTTTGGGTTTTGTGGAGGGAAAAAACAAGTTTTTGGGTAGGAAAAATATAAGAAAATAGATAGGTGTATTTTGTCCCAGAAAAAAAAAGGGGGGTCAAACTTCAATTTAACTGGTTTTGGCCGTGTGCGGTTTATCTAATTTTTGAAATTACCACATAATTTGTGGACTGAAAGGCATTGGGTACGTTAACAATTTAATGAAAAAACTAAAATATCCTATATAGATAGAATTTTGTCCCAAAGAAAGAATAAAAGAAGAAAAAGCCTAAAACATTTCATTGGTTACCCATAAAAAATGAGAATTTTAAATGTGTTGGGAGGGTTTTTAGTGTTCTGTATGTAGAAACATTTTAATAGTTGAATCCCTTGAACAAAAACCGGGGAGTACTTATTATGTGTTTGGATATGTTGTGTCAAAAGAACTGAAGCCTTCAGGAAACTCTTAATTTTTTTATTTTTTTATCATGGTTTTGGAGCCATGTTTTTATCAATCATATTTCTAGGGTATGCAGAGCCACTTGTAGAATGTGAGAACGTATTTTCTTTTCCTTTTTCTTTTTTTATTTTTTAATTATCTTGACACACTTCTTCTCTGTCTCCCTCTTTTACTTGATCCTTCTTCATTTTAATGAATTTTTTCGATGTTACAGAAATTAAAAAATGTTTTTATTTGTAAGATTTGAATGATGGAAGCAAGTAATAAAGAATAGACGTCCCTCGGAGTTTTTTGATAGTAGCACACAGAGATGTTTATTATGTGGTTAATCTAATGTTTTAATATCATAAAAATTAGGGCATTACCTCTAGCAATTTCTGCTCATTTTTTAAAAACTTTATTTTCTCTACTTCTATATTGGTAAATTTGTATGTGGTATATAAATACATCGCTTCGCTTGACATTGTTAGTACCACATAGAATTGGAACCAGTTTGGCCCGGGCTTACGAGTATACTTGGTTTCAAGCGGGTGCTGTTGCCTGGTGCGTTTGGCCTGTTGAG